TTCAACCGTTCGCCGTGTTCGCCGTAGATTTCTTTCAATCTTTCGTGGCGCATTGGGGGGTCTTTAATATGGCGTTTGATTGCCGCTTTCGCTGCCGTGTATTGCCAGGTTGTTCCTCCTTGGTTTCTCTCCGACCCTTCTTCAGCCTGTTCATTAGCCATCTCATTGCCCATCACCCCGCAGTGGCTTGGACACCATGTAAAAGTTAAGGAACTCTTTCTTTGATGATAAAGATGTATCAGTTCAACAATATCTCTTTCATTACCGTCTTGAAGTCGGGTGGAGGGATTCAAACTCTGGATTCGTTGCAGCGCTGTCTTACTGTCCGCAACAATCCTTGTCTTCCTTCCCTCACAGTCATCCCGGAGGAGATTCAGGGCCCGCGTGATTGCTTTCAGTTCCGCCTGGTATGAGGAGCACCAAGGGCCTGCTGGTATATTATGTGTTCCAAGAACATTTGGTTCTGTTATAGCAATCCCTGATCGTCCGTTGATGTTTGCTGCTGATGTGGATCCATCCGTGTACACCACTCTGTAATATTTAGTCCAGTTTTTGGCCAATCTGTCAATAGCAAGTTTCCTATCTTTTTCGTTATCTCCTCTCTTCACTCCCTCTAATTCGAAGACCAAGTTACCTATCGTCATCCATGGTGGTAGGAGACCTGGCAGGTGTTGTGGTTTATTCTTTCCAAAGATTGGCGACCACCTTGCTTTCGCTTTAATTCTCCATCCTTGTTTCTTTCTTTGTTGTATGGTATCTCTTTCTGCTAGCATCTGGCGAGGATTGGATTCACTCAGCCTGTATGACTTCTCCAAAGCAATCATATTTAGTTGTTCGACCCTGGTAGCAATCGTAGGTAGGTCTGCTTTGGCTCGGATAGCCTCTTTGGGGGTTGTGCGTACCTGTCCAGTAATTGCCCTTCCTGCATATCTCTGGCTTGCTTCCAGTCTTTCCATCCCTGATGTAGAAATCCATGGGGTCCATGCCGGCGCAGCATACTCAATCATCGATCTTCCAGCTGTGATGAAGGTAGATCGTAAGGTCTCCTTATCATAACCCCAGTCTGTGTTGGCCAATCGGCGCAAAGCTGCTGCCTGTTGTTTAACCTTTTGACTGATCTTTCTCACATGAGTGCTGAAGGTTAATTGCCGGTCGTATGTAACCCTTAGGAATTTCGGGTTGGGGTTGTACTTCAAAGGAGTATTTGATAGTGTTAGAGATGGTCTCCAATTGGCCTCTTGTGTGTTAGTCGAGAAAAAGGAGCATTCGGACTTGGGTGCCAAAATTTGCATCTTCCACGAAGCACTCCACTCTGTCAGTCGTAAAAGTTCTGTTTGTAGTTCCTTTTCTGCTATTTGCAAGCTTGAGTGCTGTGTCCATAGTGCTACATCATCAGCAAATACAGAGATCTCGGCATTTTTTATATCCTTGCCCAAGTCATCAATATAAAACAGGAAGAGTAGCAGAGAGAGCACCGAACCTTGTGGTACACCTTGTTTGAAGACGAGCTGTCGGCTTTTCTCTCCCTCATAGGTAACCCAGTTCAATCTATTCGACAACCATGATTGTATCCATCTAATGATGTGTGTCGGCACTCCTTTCTCCATCATCTTATACACCAAGGCATCTCGCCAGACACCATTGTATGCCCTTGTAAAGTCGATAAGTGCCATTACTGTTCTCTTCATCAGTTTTTGTTGAAAGCCATCATTGATAGACTGGCATAATCTTAGAAGCTGGTCTTCTGTACTTCTTCTAGGCCTGAACCCTGCTTGGTTTTCGGTCAAGAGATGTCTTTCTTCAGTTATATACCGCAGTCTATTGCACAGCAGCCTTTCCATCACTTTACCTATCACAGAAGTTAGTGATATGGGCCTGTGTCTGGCTAATTGATTGGGATTTTTCCCTAGTATTAGTATCGGACAGATGCCAGCAATACGCCATTCTTGCGGGACTTGGAGCGTGGACCACGATTTGTTGAAGATGCCAGTTAAGGCCGTCAGCGCATTTTCACCGATATGGTGTAAAAGGCGTGGATGGATGTGGTCAGGTCCGGCCGCTTTTGATAGGTTGAGTTTTTGTATTGCTGCTTCCACCTCTTCTGTTGTAAATTCCATCTTTATATTGTTTTCGCAATTTGCCGTTAGTAAGCCCTTTCATTCTTCGGTCATGTTTGGTTAATTTTAGGGAACTTACTACGTGGTAATACTTAACAAACCCATTGGCTTTGTCTACATTACTAATTAATTGCTTTTCACCATCCAGAATGATTCTTGCCTGATCTTTCCTTGCTGGGTTTGTTAAGCTTTGAAGCACTCTCCACATTTGTGTCTTGCCCTTCACTGAGATAGTCTTTCTTTGCCAGATTTCCAGCTTTTTTGCCTTAACCAGGTTTTTCACTTTCTCATTTTGTTCTTTAAATCTTTCGCTGTGGAAACTATCTAGCTCTCGTAGCCGATCTCTTTCTTTCTCAGCTTGTGTAATTTCTTTGGTCTTCCAACATTCGTTTGTCATACCGACTGCCTTTAATCCAATCTTGAGTCTTGCTGCCTTCAACACAAGGTTATTAAACTTTTCTACTTCCTTGCTGACTTTCTGTGGTCTTTCTTTATGCCAGTCCTTGAACAGCTCTTCTTCTTCCATTGTGAATGCTGGTACATCTCTTCCAGTCCCAAACTCATCTCTTTTTTCCTTTATTTATCACCGCCGGAAACATAATGGTGATGAATATTGGCTTGTGGTCTGATGAGAGTATGTTGGCCGCCTCCCATGAGAAATACTTTCTCTGGGCTTCATGAATTATGGTGATATCAGGCGAAGAGAGGACACCAGTAGCTGGGTCTTGCCGTGTTGGAGTGCCATTGTTGGCAAAGGTCCCATTCTCATCTAGGCCGTTGCTGCAGAAACCCCCCGCTTCACACGGGTAGGATGTCGGAAATAGCAACAGTGCTATTGTGGCGATCTCAGAGTATTCAGCCATAACTTTAATCCAGTTGTTTCGAACGTACTTTTAAGGCCGCCGTCATTTGCGATCTCCAGCAGTTTTTTTTACTCATTTTGCGAGCTCTGGCGTTTTGTTTTTAGCGTAATCGGTCACGTGACGGAGAAGCGTGGCTTGACATGTGTCAAGCGTGACACAGACGGATGTAACGGAGAATCCGGTAATTTTTCAAAATAAAACATCTTTGGTATTCCGAAATAAATAAAACGGAATTAAGGCAAGTTCTTTCTGTGCGGCCCGGTACCAAATGCCCTGCTGACCGGTATCGGTCCGTGGACCGGCGGTTGGGGACCCCTGTTGTAACTGACAAAACAAACTGCAATGCGCTTTTTATAGGTAGTGCGAACGGTCACCTGTCAGTGGCAGCCCCGCACCTCTTAAAGCGTCAGATGAATGAAATAGATTTCAAATTTTTCTAAGGAGATAAGTTTTTTCCCTTGATAAATGTTATAACGGAAGAAAAAAGTAATATTTAGTAAGAACATTCCAAGAAATATGTATTGTTTTCCAAGAAAATGTCTTTTTTTCTTGGAGGACAATTTACAAAGATCAAACTACATTTTAAATCAAATGTCTCTCCCGGCCCCCTTGGAAAAAAAAAGGCTAAATATAACGTAAACATTTTGGTGATCAGTTATTCAATTGTTATATTCCCAGGTTGTTTTATTCCGGTGTTATTATTTATGATTGTTGCTGTTGATTTTTTGCAGTAGAAGGGAAATGAAACTTGAGTGTTCTCGTAATGCACTCAGTCTAACCGGCAGTAACCGCACTCCCTCATCTATTAACTGACTTCCTCTAACTGACTTTTTTTTCAATGACTTAAAGGGGAAATGCATTAAAAAAAAAAGAAGGAAATGAAAAGTATTTGAAAAATTGAACTTTGCATTTCATCTGAGAACGAAACCAATCATAATATTTCACAAGCAAGTTTTAAAAAGTAAAAAAAAAAAAAATTTGAAGCAGCAATATTACAATGTGATATTTAAAAGGAAAAACTGAATTGAATTGAATTGAATTATTGAAAAACGTTTCAATAGTACAAAGAAATCACTTATGAATATATATATATTTTTTTGCATTTTCCCCCCCACCTAAAAATGATTTTACACAAACAAGTAGAGTCTTCTTCTTCTCCTTTCGGCACGTCCCTATTCAGGGGTCGCCACAGCGAGTCAGTAATTTCCATCCGCCCCTGTAAACCGTCCTACCAACTCGCATGGTCGTCTTGGCAAAAGTTTTACGCCGGATGCCATTCCTGACGCCATTCCTGACGCAACCCTCCCCATTTCTCCGGGCTTGGGACCGGCACTGGGGAACAGTGCACCCCCAGGAGAGGGCACCGCTCCCCAGCGGCTGGGTTTAACAAGTAGAGTAAAATGTGGTATTAAAAAAAAGTAAGATTAAGGGGAAAATATTTTTTCATAAATTCTAAAATAAATAAAATCAAACAAACACAACAATAAATGATATTTAAAAAAAACTGTCGCAATTAATTGTTGGGGAAAAATAAAAGCCCTGCGGTTGGCTTACAACCAGTTCAGGGTTTCCCTTGCCAACTGCCCAAAGACGGCTGGGATAGATAATTTCCAGCATGCCCCTGCGACTCTCGAGAGGATAAGCGGATCAGAAAATGGCTAGATGGATGAAAATAAAAGCCATTTGTACAAAATGTAAAGTGGCAAAAATAGATTTAAAATGTTTCCAAGGAGAGAAGTTATCATTTTTTCTCTTGATAAATGTTATAATGGAAGAAATTTTTTTCTTTTCTTCCATTATGCCATTTTCTTTAAAAAAAAAACAAAACAACAGAAAATTACAAAAAATATGTCTTGTTTTCCAATATGTCTTTTTTTTTTCTCGACAGTCTTTTTTCTTGGAGGACAATTTAGGATATATAAAATTACATTTTAAATCAACCCCCCCTTCCCCCTCGGAAAAAAGGCGGAATATAGTTTCAACATTTTAGTGATCAGTCATTCAATTGTTATACTGCGAGATTGTTTTATTCCGGTGTTGTTATTTATGCTTGTTGTTGTTGATTTTTTTCAAGGGTCTGTAACGAAGAGCAAGTTTGTCAAGCAAGGAGCTGACGTCGATTTGGACGTCAAGAAGCCTGTAGTTTTTACGCCGGACCGGGACCTCTTCTTTTGGCGGGTCAATAGAAGTTTGGACATTTTTAGATCAGACAAAAATCAAAAACGCACAAAAATATATCCCAACTACCACGGAAGAGTAGTGGTACTCGAAAACTTTTCCTTGGTATTAAAAAATGTGCAAGAGCCGGACGCTGGACTTTACACTGCAGTACTCAGTGGTGCAGAAAATAAGCTGGCCGAATACCAACTTCACATTCAAGGTATGTCATTGAATGCAAGGGATGTTGATGCCCCGGGTCTTTTGGATCCAGAAAGATCTTCCTGAAATGGAAGGAGAGGGAAACATGTTCAAGGAATATCAACAACAAAAAAATTCCCCAAACATAATGGCAGTCTTAAAGATGCCCCCGGTCAATTTGATCAATTGACAGATAAATCAATGCTGTTCTTGAGAAACAAAACATCAACGGGGTCGGGGGGGTTCAACATGGCCACAATCAAATTCACTCAGGATCATCGTTGTTGTGAAAAAATACGGGGGGGAGGGAGAGAAAAAAATGAAGTGTTTCATTGCACAAAGTAAATGTTTCAGAAAAGAACTGTACATAGTTCAAGTGCAATATAAAATAAAGCATTCGCAATATATTTGTAGAAAAAATATATAATAAATTAGCAATAGCATAGAAAACACAGCGTCAGGTGGCTATGCTATAGAAATCCAGTTTCATAAAATTCATGGCCCAGAAACATTACCGGTGAAAAAAAACTAAACATACCGGGGTGTTAAATATGCCCCGGGTCAAATTGACCCAGTCACCTGTTCCTGGACAACATAAAGGTTCAACAGACAGATTTGTCCCAGTAAGATCATTGGTCTTCCTGAAATTCGAACACATCATACCCCACGTCAAATTGACCCAACGACACTGTTGCAACAGGATGGTTAAACATGCCATGGGTCAAACTGACCCAGGAACATTATTGGGGTTCTTAAAAATGCATCATGCCTCCAGTCAATTTGACCCAGGATAATGGCAGTCAATGAAAAAGTATTGTTACAGGAGAGTTAAGAAATACCCAGGGTCAAAATGGCCCAGAAACCTTGCTATTGAGAAGTTCAAGAAGCGTAACACCAGACTGACCCTCGATCTCAACTCAACTGTATTTTATAGAGCACTTTAAAACAACCACCGCTGTATACATCATCATCACTGTATCTGAGAAAAGAATGGACCAGATCAATTTGGCCCAGGGCGAATATAGCCATTCACTAGACCTGAATGTCAATGGGCAGTCAAACATTCCATGGGTCACACTGACCCAGGAACATTATTTCTGCCCCTGCAAAACTTTTCCACCTGTACACTAAAGAATCAATTTTACAGCCGCAGTATCTCCCGTCAAGCTGGAGGTGGTGTCACTGTTTGCCGACTCGGACTCATGTAACTTGACGGTGACCTGCCGGACCGACCAAACTCATCTCAACGCCACGTTTGAATGCCGACATGCTAACTGCACACCTGATGGAGGCGGGCTTTCAAATGCAGATTGGAGTCTCATGGCCTTCGTCTTCAATTTCTCTATCGTGTGCCAGCACAGCAACCAGGTTAGCGAGACGCAGGAGGCAATGGCAGTTCGACAAGTCTGCCAGCAACATGGTGAGTACGCGGTACATCCGGAATCTAGCAGGCTGGGTCTCTTATGCAGAACCTAGCAAAGGCAAGATTTGTATTTGTGGTCGCTTTAATGAAGAGATCCTGCAAAACTGGTGCAGGAGATCCAGAATGGCAGAAAACTCAGTGAAGGCAGCATATTGTATGTGGCCACACATACTTTCACACTGAGATCCTGTGCTGCTTATGAAAACCAGCTAGGAAAAAGACAGGCACCGTATAACGGGCTTAAAAAGTTGATTTCATTTTTTTTCTCTTTTCCACAGTACCCAAAGAAATCTCAATCTTTACCTGGACCTGGATCCGTATATCATTAGTACTTGGCCTTGCCCTTGCTCTTATATTTGCTTTAAGAAGTAAGTTTTCCTCCTTGTTGCTCTAATCAAATCCCGAACGTGTTGACTGATGACGAGCACCTTACGCTAAACCTAGTCCTACCCAAGGTGCCCCTTACAAGAACCCAAGTGACATTTCATCTTGTGTAGAAAACCAATCAGAACCCCTTGTACTCCTACCATTACTGTAGTCTAAATCATTGGCTCCCTTACACTAATCCGAGTGCCATTTCAGGAAGAGAAAGACAGGCCACCAGAAAACCTGAAGGATGTCAAGTCCTTGAATCCTACAATATGGGGGACATCACAAAGGACCGAGTGAGACCATGTACGCTCAAGTTGAGACCTGCGGAATTACCTAAGATGCTGGAAGCAGACCCCATGCAGGTCACAGGGCAGAATAACAACCCGCTATTGGCATTGTAACTCGTGCTGTGAAGCGATAAATAAAATTGTGAGATTAATTAATTATGATCTGTATTTAATTGATCTAATTAATCTATATTTTAATCTAATCTAAAAAGTGCATAGAAAAGCCCTATTTTCATTTTTAATTCATTACATTATTGAGGCCGATCAAAAGACAAAAAAAGTGACATTATAAAGTGGTTTATTGTTTTTAAACAGACTTGAACAGATGCAGTCCTAGCCATTTACTTTCTGCTGTATTTGAGACTAGTCCCAGGCCTTAACCTCAACCTTTAGTTTCGACCACCAGGGGACTATCACTGTTGTGTTTTTTGGTAAATCTCCAAATAATTACAAAAAAAAAAAAATTGAGAACATCAGGTCCATAATACAGTGAGTGCTTAGGTTAACATATCAAAAACAGTAGGAACAGTTTTCTGAGTGATAGCCTCCTGACTACCAGTAGTTCAAATTTGTCCTCTGTAGAGGACATTTGTGAACCTAAATATCTCCCACCCAGTGCCTCCAATCGCATTAACTCATTTTGTTACTCTAAAGAGGACATTCAGTGCTTTCCAATGATACCAAATTTGTAGGGGTTAGAAAAAGTAAGAAAATGGCTTCCCTCAGTGCAAGCACTTTTTATGGGAAGAGGAAAAGTAATACTTTTTATCGACCACATTTTGTCTTGAAATGCTGTTGGCATTTTAATTATAAGACTCTTATGAACATATTAAAATGTTGTTTGAGTTGTTTTAAGTGTATTTGAGCCTGTTTAAAAAATGTAGTGGGATTTCAAAATTTTTTTTGGAGGAGTCCAATTACTTCACATAGATTGGGGAATGTCAAAATAAATGTGATTGGACAACATTTTTTTTCCTGGTAGTCAGGAGGATAGAGAAAGCTATGAGCAGAATGGTATCATGTTTAAAGTTTCTGTTAATTTGGGCATGTCTGGACGTTTGGGTGCGTACTCAGCGCACAGGTGTCGGCCGTTTGGGCGGAGGGCTTTTTGAGTAATCACGTCAAAGCAAGGGGGGTGAACAGATGGAAGATGGCTCGATTCAATCAAGGAGTGCGAATAAACACATTGGGAACAAAGTGTTGTTGAATCTCAAAAGACAGTTTGGGAATAGCTGTTGCGCCCAGGCGGACATTTGTCATCAGCAAAGTCTGTGCCTTGTGTATTCGGGTAGACCAGGCTGTGAGGTGTTAGCATTTGAGATCACTACTGAGGGGCCGGACCGGGGGCGTGGTATGCAAATCTCGGGGCAGTGTTTTTCTTGTATTTTGCATATGTTCACAATAAAAGTCCGACAGGAGGACAAGGGACTCTTGAGTGTGATCACGGAGCAACTAAACCGTCGTTCGCTCTCAGAGATCCACTTCCACCGAAGAAAGACAATGTTCCATGTGTGCCCAGTCATTTGTTTAACTTTGTCTGAGAAAAACCTCTGACACTGAGCAATACAAGTACTCAACACTGAACTTGCTTCGGATAATAAAAAATAAATAAGAGACCCTTAAATCACAGTGCTATAAATTAGTACTTCAGAAATAACACTGTTCGTCATGAGAAAATAAAGTGCTGAAATAAACATCAACCACTTCTGGTAGGCTACTGAGGACACAGCAACTATGCTGACTTCATGCCTCGTATGCGGGGGGTTCTTGAGTTTAGTTTGGCGAAGAGCTTTGCTTTAGCTCGCTATATCGCTTTCGGTGCTAGCATTAGCTGTGGATGCGCTCGCGACTGGGTGCTTTGCATTAATGTGGGAGGCTAAACTTGAGCTGCTTCAGTGGTCAGCAAACTCCTTCCTAAAAATTTGGCACAACACTCTACTTTTATCAATAGTGCCGTCAGGGCATTTTTTTGAAAAGTAAATTTTCCATTCATTGTGCCGAGAACTCTCACATGCTCCTCCATTTTCACCTCTCCTCTCCTCACCACTGCTGACTTAGCCCGCCCAACTCCAAGATGATTATCTTATGCTAAACAAGCCCAAAGATAATGACAGCCAATCAATGAATGCGTCAGGCTGTGACTGACAGTTGTTTCCCCACCCTCAACTACTCGAACACAGGAAGCCAACACATGAAAAGGGATATTATAAAAAGGCAACCGACAGAAACAATAAAGTTAGATATTAAAATTTAGATTAACGCGATTAAAAAACATAACGCGCTAAATATGACTGTAATAAATTATTCACAATTAACATGATAAATTGACACCTCTAATTGTAACAATACGCTCTTTCTGTTTATACTTTTCCTTGCCTGTAAATTCTCAGTTAATTAGCTCATGGTATTCTGCAAAAGTTGAAACAAGGCAGCTAGACTCTTCATAAGTGTTGAAAACATTTCACCTTTAATGCAAAAGGCAAATTGCAATTGCAAGTGTGGCGTCACCCTATTTTTGTCTTTTGTGGGTTGTATCCCGTCAAGGTCGCTGCTTGATGGTTGTTGTTGCTGTGGAAAACAAAACAAAACAAAACAAAACAAAAAAAACACTGGACCCTTTGAGCGCGACTTTCCAAATTTTTACCACTTCAAAAAACCTACAGTACTACAGCAGCACTGTACATGAAAGCAAAAAAAAAAAAAAAAAATTTGCACCCCTATGTTAGTGAAAAGGCAGTTCTAAAATATGAAATGCAAATGTACACTAGGGCTTGTGGAATTATTGACCTTGTTGCTGCTTTTGCTTAAGTGTTGTTTTTCTAGAACTCTCAATCTTGTCAGTCGTTTTTGCGCTCTAGCCTCTGGCTTTGTATTTGGGGGGGGGGGTTGTTGTCTTTGACCTTGCTCATGTTTTTGTTTTTGTGAAATTGGACTTTTGTCATTTTGTTTATATCTTGGAATTTTTTTTTCTTTGCCTTTGCAAGCTCTTTTTGTGAATGTTTACTTTTCTTGCTGCTTTTGACCAGCGATCTCTCTTTATTTTGTCGGTGCGTTTTTGTATTAAATACTTTTATACAGACTTTTGTTTGAGTCTATGTTTGTGCGATCTGATTGCCATTCTGTTTCTTCAGTTGGTTTTGGCACCCTAGGAAAGTGATACAGTGAAACTCCTCTAGACGAAACCTACATGGGTGAAAATACCCCCTAATGTGAAAAAAATCTTCATGCATTAACACCATTCCCATTTTCCTGCCCCCCATACGACGAAAACCCCCCTGTTGCGTTATACGAAATCATTTTCTCTGCTCCAGCCTCGCGAAGACATTCACTACAACGAAGTCTAATCCAACAGCGACCTCTACTGCTTCATTCGGAAACGGCAACAGCAACCACCACATTGGTTTACGTAGTGAACAATGTTTATTTCGGTCACAGCTGCGAGTTTCTTGAACGCAACATACTCATAGCTGCTCTGCCATTGGCTGACCGAGCATCATCCTGGTCTCCGATTGGCCAAGAGAGACCTCACTGTCTATGTGTGTAGATACTGAAGCTCGATCCGTAGAAGATAGAGTGGAATGCATCCGTTTAGCTGCTCAGAGTAAATTGCTTATGGCTCGACGGACATTCAAATAAACGAACGTTTCCTCAAATGCTTTACTTGTTATCATGCTAAAAACCTTACGCTAACTGGAGCGCTAATGAGATTGAAGCGGTCAAGTTAGCGTAAGGTTTTCAGCCTTCGAGAGCTAACTATGGCCATCGAGGACTATGAAGCGTCCCGTGGCTGGCTTAAAAGTTCATTGCATGACATCCAGCTGAGCAACGCTGTCTTGGGTGGCGATCGAGGGGAGGTCGAGTTAGACACAGTGAGATGGTGGAAAGAAAAGCTACCGAGTCCACAAAGTATTTGTTATTGTTAGATTCAGACGAGCATGGACGTTGTATTGCTAAAATGGCTACAAAACGGACCTTTGGATGTCAAGCAGCTAAGACAAGAAGAGCTCTGATGCTGAGAAGGTAAAAGTGATCAAAATAAAAGACGAAGCAAGCAAAATAGAAGACATTATCCAAGAAATGGATGTAAGTGAAAGTGAATGCTGATTGTAAATTTCGCAATTTCTTTTCCTTTTTTTCTTTCTACATTGACAATAGGAAGTGTCAAAAAAGTGTGTGCTCATACTTAAAGTGCATAAGTATGATACTTATGCACTGGAATAAAAATAGAGTACACATACGTTTGTGTTTGTTTGTGTGTGTGTGTGTGTGTGCTTACATCTGAGATCAAATTTGCTACAGTGAAAAATGCCCAGTTGTGAAAAATTTCTTGCTGCAAACCTGATTTCGTTGTAGAGGAGTTTCACTGTATTACTAAGCTGTTACAGGCGGCACTAGAAGCTGGTCTTTACGTGTACTTATATTTTGTTATATTTTCATATTTCCATTTCATAGTCTTACTTTTCTTTTATTAAAAATATAAAACTACTTAAAAAGTGTACTGTGGTGTTGTAAAAATGTTGAAGCCACTGTAAGATTATGCACAGTTTGAGCATTTAATTCGGTGATTCTTTCACATACCCCGCTTTGTTACAGTTGCAGCAGTTGCAAAAGCGCCATATCAATAAAGATGAGTTGAGTTTCACTCAGGAAGACGTCAGACAGATCATTGCTGCTTTTTTAACTGCGAAAAATGAGCAACCAATGACGGAAGCCTCAATAGTGAGGTCCACCGAAAACCTACCCACACAGATCAGACCTATTTTTTTTACCTCCATCTCCCAAACCCTATGCCCTCAGACCAAGTTGTTGCACCCCAAGGGCAAAAGCAACCTCAGCAATGTTGTAAATGCAGTTCAGTTTAGCGTAGTTTGGTGAGGAGTGCAGTGACTTCTTGATTCGAGAAACCAACAAACCCCAACACGAAATACAGGAGGTCAGCCTCTACAGGTGCAGAGTCAGCAATTCGTTTGCAACGCACCGACAAAGATGGGACTGTCCTTGAGGACAACAATGTTTAAGTTGAAATGTCTCTCACGACCAAGAGTCAGTTGCCGTGGTTTAACTTTGGTGGTCTTCTTTGGCTTGAATTTGTTACAAATTTGTTGTTTGCAGTTTTGGGCATGAAACAATTG